AAGATCCTGTTTAATTCTCTGTCATTGTACCTTTTCAGGTGTTTTTAAAGTCTCTTCGTTTATATCTCCTCTCCCCTGTATCCCTTTGTGTCTTCCGATTGTTGCTCACTGAGTTCACAATTCAAAAATTAGAAAGGAAGGTTCTTTCTATTGAAGAGAGAGATTGACAAACTGGAATGTGTCCAGAGGAGGGTGACTAAAATGATCAACTGTCTGGAGAACAAGCCCTATGAGGAGCAGCTTAAAGAGCTGGGCATGTTTAGCCTGCAGAAGAGAAGACTGAGAGGAGACATGATAGCCATGTATAAATATGTGAATGGAAGTCACAGGGAAGAGGGAGCAAGCTTGTTTTCTGCTGTCCTGGAGACTAGGATGTGGAACAGTGGTTTCAAACTACATGAAAGGAGATTCCATCTAAACATTAGGAAGAACTTCCTAATTGTGAGAGCTGTTCAGCAGTGGAACTCAATCCCCAGAGTGTGGTGGAAGCTCTTTGGAGGCTTTTACACAGAGGCTGGTTGGCCATCTGTCGGGGATGCTTTGAATTTGATTTTCCTGCTTCTTGTCAGGGGGTTGGACTGGATGGCCCATGAGGTCTCTTCCAACTCTATGATTCTATGATTTCCTTCCTAGTAGATTAAGGTAAGGACAAACTGTTGCAGCCTCTTCTAGCTTGTGTGTTCTTTCTCATCAGTTTAATATTTCGACCAAACTCTGGTGTTGTTTGGCTGATGTGTCTCAATTTTCATCTATTGAATGATAGAGCTCATGTTTTTTTTGGGGGGTTTTTTTTGTTTTGTTTTTTTTTTTGTAATATCAAGGAATATTAGTATGAAAGACAATGACCGGATTTTACAGTTTTCAGATTCAAGATGGCCAGTTTAACATTACAAGATGCTGCAGAGTCAACATACCCGTTCAAGAATGTTTTTATTGCTCTTCCCCAGATTGAAAACAGGAGACTGCTTTCTAACTGTAATTGTAGCCAGTATGACCTGGAGTAATTGGTCTGTGATAAACATGATGCAATGTTATGGCCTCACTTCAGTTTTTCACTTTAATAGAAGGGTTTGCACTTTCTATTAAAGTGTAGATTTGAAGTGGGGCCATAAATTACTTTATGGCAGAGTCTAGAGTGCCCATTACTGGAACCTACTAAAAATAGATTAGAAAAATCATCTGTCATGGCTAGTTTATATATGGTTGTCCCAGCTTACTGGGAATATTACTGGGTAATATTTTAGAGCTTCTGTCAGCCCTGAGTGTTTTGGCAAATTTCAGAGAATTCAGACAGATAAGGAAATTGCTACTTTATCATGCAATGTTGCATATATACACACGGGAAGGAACACATTAGGCATTGTCTTCTTTGGGATCTCTTTTGCTGGATTCTTAATTTACAGCTGGTGAAGAATTAGCAAGAAGAGTTCTGTGTTTCATATAATGCCTTCTCGCCTAATAAGAGCAGTATGAGGCAGCTCTAACCATTGTGAAATTGTAGGGCTGAAACAGGCATGTAGCCAAGGGGGGGAGGGCTTGAGGGGCTTCACACACACACCCCCCAAAAAAATTCTCATGGTGGTCTGCGAGAAGGCCTTACTGGTACATTATTTAAACTGTTATGTTTATTCATATCATGATCTGATCACCATGCTCAATATATCCCATATGCATGGGGGTATTGGGGTAATGATACAAAAGGTTTGCTTGGGTAGATCCTCTTTCACTCAGACTTAGCCCCCCCCCCCCCTCCGAAACAAACTCAGCTCCCTCCGAATCAAAATCCTGGCTACGGGCCTGGGCTGAAATCATGACTGGACCAGGATCCAAGATCTCTTGTGAGATTTGTAGTTGTGAAAGGCAATGGTTCATGCTTTGCAACCTCCTTGATCAGCAGGGAAAAGTCATAGCTTTTGGATGTGATTATTAATTATCTGTGGGTCTTACAAGGCAACATAATTTCCATATTAGTTTGCAAGAATGAAACAGATGGTAGCAATTACTACATACCCACTTAGATTTGTTTTCCCTTCCACTTTGTCTGGCTGCCAGATCTCATATCTTTGATCCTTTACCTGGTCATATGCAGTTTGAAGCTATCCCCTTCATGTCATTTCACTTTTATTTTCCTAGTCTGGGTCACGTTTGAGGAAGAAAAGCGCAGAATAGCAGAGTTTAATTATTTACAGGTTGAGTACCCGTTATCCAGAATTCCAACATACTCAAAAATCCAAAGCTGTCCACTTGGGTGACTGATAGTGACACCTTTGCTTTCGGTATACACAGATCTTGCATCATACACACAATTATTTAAAGGCTGTTGTTGTTCTTATGTGTATTAGGTGCATATGTAACATAAATAAATTTCAAGTTTAGACTTGGGTCCCATCTCCAAGATATCTCCTCATGTAGGTAGGTAGTCCCCTGACATTAAGTCCAGTCATGTCTGACTCTGGGGTGTGGTGCTCATCTCCATTTCTAAGCCGAAGAGCCGGTGTTGTCCGTAGACACCTCCAAGGTCATGTGGCTGGCATGACTGCATGGAGCGTCGTTACCTTCCCACCGGAACGGTACCTATTGATCTACTCACATTTGCATGTTTTCGAACTCCTAGGTTGGCAGAAGCTAGGGCTGACAGCGGAAGCTCACGCCGCTCCCCGGAATCGAACCTGCGACCTTTTGATCAACAAGCTCAGCAGCTCAGTGCTTTAACCCACTGCGCCACCGGGGGCTCCTATCTCCTCATGTATGTCTATGCAAATATAGATATTTCAGAATAAAAAAAAATCTGAAATACAAAACACTTCTAGTCCCAAGTGTTTCAGGGGTTACTCGAACTGTATTTATAGTGGATGAAAAATAGTATTTTTGTCAGTACATGATTCAGAGCTATTGGAATATTACTTGTAATGAAACATGTTTATTTAAAACTTTTGTACCATCTTTCTGCTTCAGTTAGAGCAGTGGTTCTCAACCTTCCTAATGCTGTGACCGTTTAATACAGTTCCTCATGTTGTGGTGACCCCCAACCATAAAATTATTTTTGTTGCTACTTCATAACTGTAATTTTGCTATGGTTATGAATCGTAATATAAATATCTGATATGCAGGATGTATTTTCATTCACTGAACCAAATTTGGCACAAATACCAAATACCCCTACATTTGAATACTGGTGGTGTTGGAGGAGGATTTATTTTGTTATTTGGAAGTTGTAGTTGCTGGGATTTATAGTTAACCTACAATCAAAGAGCATTCTGAACTCCACCAATGATGGACTTGAACCAAACTTGGCGCACAGAACTCCCAAGACCAACAGAAAATACTGGAAGGGTTTGGTGGACATTGACCTTGAGTTTTGGAATTGTAGTTCACCTACATTCAGAGAGCACTGTGGACTCAAACAATGGTGGACCAAACTTGGCACAAATACTCATATGCCTAAATGGAGTTTGGGGGAAATAGACCTTAACATTTGGGAGTTGTAGTTGCTGGGATTTATAGTTCACTTACAATCAAAGAGCATTCTGAACCCCACCAACGATAGAATTGGGCCAAACTTCCCACACAAGACCCCCATGACCAACAGAAAATACTGTGTTTTCTGATGGTCTCTGGCGACCCCTCTGACCCCCCCCCGTGCCCCCCCCCCCCCCCCCGGGTTGAGAAATGCTGAGTTAGAGGCATCCAAGGTGGCTTAAATGTACAAATAACTTTTTGAAAAGCTAGAACTTAAATTGATGGTAAATAAAGCAAAAACAACAAGACATTTTAAATACTTTGTTGTTTAGTGTTTTGAAATTGGAAATTGCCTTGCCCTTTTTGGAAGAAATTATATCAGTATATTACTTAAGAAAATAATATGTTTATAAATGGAATTCTGGGGGAATTCTTGATGGTTGGATATTGTGTACTCAGTATTGTTGACTGAGAGGCAGAATACATGTGTTGTGTTTGTAAGATTCTAAGTTGACTTCTGAATCTTTGTTAAAGCAAGGCTGGAAAAGATCCCGCAGAGCTGTTGCCATTCAGTAGACAATACTGAGTGATTTAAAGCTGTTTCATACATGTTCATGATAAATAACTGCAACTTTGAATGGTTTAGGTTGACATCATTGCCAGCACTAATCCATGAAAACATTTGAGATTCTTTATGTAGCTAGACATTTTCACTTGGCATGCAGCGTTTGGAAACATACAGATGAAAGCTTGTCTTCCTGCAGTATTCCTTTGCTGTTTATTCATTGGTGAATTTTATGACTTCTAAGAAAATATGATATTGACTTTTCCCAACTTGAACTGTGGACTTGAGGGCCTGCCTCGAAAAGCTTACTGTTTCAGTGATTTCATTACATTTCATTACAGTACTGAGAAATAAGATACTCTTTTCACATTTTAATTAACGTGCTCAATCATATGGAAGAAGATCTGTTAGCAAAAAGAAGTTCAGATAAATAAGTTTTGCTGTAACATTCTTGTCTTGGGCTAAATAACCTTTTCTTAACCATTTATTCCCCTTTTTGTAGTGGTGTGTTTGGTTGTGTATTGTTAAAGAGAATTGCAGGACGCATTTGTAGAAACATAATATTGGCACTTTAGAATAAGGATAAGGCATGATAATCTTGTTAACCAGTATGCATCGGATACAAAGAAATAAACATTGGTCAATTAAAACATTCATCAACTGAGCTATCTTGAAGCTGTTCTGGTACAGTTACTTGAACTAAAAATTCATTAACCTTATCTTCCGTCTGTCTAATCCTATGCATTATAGATGAAAAATGTTTCTATTTGCAGAAGATTTTATGCTTATCCACTCTTCCTTTTAGTACTGTCTAATAGAGTTAAAGCTTCAATAATAGAACTTCCAACAGTTTAATCACAGAAGAGAAGGAACAATGGGTTTTACTGTTTACACAGTTTTCAGTTTTTCATTTATCGCTATTACAAAAACAATATAAAACACTGGATTTTATTTAGTGTTCTCTTTCCCTACTAAGGAAAGTACCAAGTGATTGGAGGTATAATTTCACCAGTTAACGATGATTATGGAAAGCAAGGATTAGTGGCAGCAAAGCATCGAGTAGCAATGGCTCATCTTGCACTTGAGACTTCAGATTGGATCAGAGTGGATCCTTGGGAGAGTCAACAGAGACAGTGGATTGAGACCATAGCAGTTCTCAGGTAATGCTGATAATGTTTTTATATTGAATATGTCTAAGGTAGCTTGAACCAACATTGCAAGTAAACATGAGCCTACTATCCTTTTGTGTGCATGGATTCCTTTCATATGAATAATGTGTCAAGTAAGTTACAGTCGCCCATTATTCTGTCTGAAGTGTTGATATTAATGGCCACTTTCAGAGTCCCAACAAGCAGGAATTCAAGACAGCTTACACTTGTTGTGGATATTCCAATGTATTATGTTGCACCTGCTTACAGTAGCTTTCAAATTAGTAGTTGAGTTCCTCCAGAGCGGTGGTTCTCAGCCTCTCTAATGCCGTGACCCCTTAATGCAGTTCCTCATGTTGTGGTGACCCCTAACGATAACATTTTCTTTGCTATTCATAACTGTAATTTTGCTACTGTTATGAATCGTAATGTAAATATCTGATATGCATGATATATTTTCATTCACTAGACCACATCTGGTACAAATACCTGATATGCCCAAATTTGAATACTGGTGGGGTTGGAGGGGATTGTTTTTGTCATTTGGGAGTTGTAATTGCTGGGATTTATAATTCACCTACAATCAAAGAGCATTCTAAACTCCACCAATGATGGATTTGAACCGAACTTGGCACACAGAACTCCCATGATGAACAGAAAATATTGGAAGGGTTTGGTGAGCATTGACCTTGAGTTTTGGAGTTTTAGTTCACCTACATCCAGAGAGCACTGTGGACTCAAACAATGATGGATCTGAACCAAACTTGGCACAAATACTCAATATGCCCAAATGTGGACACTAGTAGACTTTGGAGAAAATCGACTTTGACATTTGGAAGTTGTAGTTGCTGGGATTTATAGTTCACCTCCAAAGAGCATTCTGAATCCCACCAACGGCAGAATTGGATCAAACTTCCCACAGAGAACCCCCATGATCAACAGAAAATAAAGTGTTTTCTGATGGTTTTTGATGACCCCTCTGACATCCTCTCATGACCCCCACAGGGGTCCCGACCCCCAGGTTGAGAAATGGTGCTCCAGAGGCTTCAAACAGTGCAGTTTGCTTGTGATTATTCCCCTAAGCTTTTGCAATAGGGAATAGTTGTTGTGGCCTATAGAGGGGGGCAAAAATAGCCCGTAAATCTCCCAGAGTTCAGCATTGCAGTGTATTGTGATATGTAGATGTGTAGATGAAACAGTAAAGTAACTTTGTCTCACCTCTTCCTCAGCAGGCCAGAGAATAAGTACAGTGTAAACAAATTCTGGATTAATTCTCTGGGTTGTTGTTAGAGAAATAGTCCAAAGAACCACCTTCCTATTGTGCTTACATATCACAATCGATAAAGCACCTACCAAAAGTCTATGGTTTGTTTAACTGCTCCTGCTACAAGCGGGAGTGATTGGGTAGCATACAGAAGCACACTGATTGTGCTTGAAGTCTGGAATCCAATACCTACCTGTCTTATTGTCCATTCATAGCCTTGACCCTTCTCTACCTGCCTCTGTCCTTCAGCCACCTTTGCAGAAGTCTGTTCTGCTCTCCTGTTTCTTCCCCCTCCTTCCTGAAAGACTCTTTATACTTTCCTATGATTAGATTTATTTTCTATTCTTCATGCCACTTCCCTGCACTTTCTAGGGCTGCAGCTTGAACAATCTAAAGTCCTTAAGAAAGCCTGCCTTCACTTTTCGTTTCATCTAAGGACATTTTTCTTGGCATTGTCATCATTAACAAGAATATCTTAGAATGAATGTCGAAATGCATTTCACGTTGCTAAAACATGGCAGGCCACAAACTAGAAGGTTGCGTCAAAGCTTGTTTGATCAAAGAGAAGATAGTATCATCTGTGTGTGTCAAAGATATTCTTCATTGTAAATTTCATGAAACAACTATGTAGATTAGATGTAAGTGTGTGCATGTAAGTCATACACACACAAGGCAAGTAAGGAGAGCTTCTCCAGCAAGTTAAGACAACTAATGATCTTGGACTATTGCATTATCTCTTTCCTCCCAGTGCCCCATGTACATGCTGGAGAGGAGATTTGCTTGCTTGAGTCATCTGGCTCCGTTGCTATGCAAACAGCTTAACACATTGGCCCTGGTCTGTGCTTGTTACTGTGCTGGATTATGCAGGTTTAATTTTTGGCTGGTTGGTGAGTGCCTTGCCCTTCCTTGCAGCATTTTGGTATTTTTATGGTTTGGGAAATTTCAAGGGTCTTCTTGCCAGTCTGCCAAACTTATTTGCCTATTAAGTCCAAATTATTTCCCAACACAACCCAATTTTGAGCAGAAAAATGTTGCACATTTTTAGCTTCTCAAGCACATTATAGTATAGGCCATTTGAAATCTATTCATAACTGCAAGACCACTAGGATTGAGACATTTTGGTTGCTGTTTACAACTTCTGCAGTCTTCCAGGTAGCACGGCCAATGAAACTCTGAGATTTGTGAGTGGGGGAACAAGAAGAAAAAATATCATGATATATTTAGGTGCCTATTTGGCGGGTTATATGTATAAAATATTTGATTAGCACTGCATGAGACAATACATGCATTCCAGTCTTGTTTATTTGAAAGCGCTGTCAAAGGAAATTGTTAGATGACCCCCTTCAAGTACCATTCATATTACTATTTCAGAAACTTATAAATTCTTGACTACCTTCTTCTGTCTTTTGGACAAACCTCTGTAAAATTAAACCTTCCTCTCTGGGCAGACACATGCATACATGTATGTGTAAGATAAACTACATTTTGACATCAACACAGTTTACAAGCTCACAACTCTTTCAATGTTTTTCTCTTTCAAAGAGCTGGTAGATCTAGCTCCCGCCTTCAGCCCATGTACATTTGTTTTGGAAGGCACTGCACAGCCTTTGCACCTGGTCTCCCTCCAGGTTCCATGTTGACAACGACTCAGTTCTGTCACTGATTGCATTCTGTTTGTGACACATCATCTTGCTTTATTTAGATTCTGTTTGGCTTTCTCTCTTGATGCTGTTCCTCATTCCTGACAAGCAAAAAATAACTGTTAATTCCAGGAATCAGAAGAAAAAAAGCACAAGAGCAAAATGCTCACTTGTTGTAGCTCTAAGAGTATATCTTCCTGTTTGCTTTGCAATGCCCAGCCTGACAGCTCTCACGTACATTCTGCCTGGCCTGTAAAACTGATATTCAAATAATGCTTAGCAGATTCTGCTGTGCAGTTGTTACAATCTGCTTTTCTTAATCCTCTAGGATTTCTGTAAATATGAGAAATGACTAGTGACCCTGTCTCTGCAAAACCTCAAAACAAGGCGCTTTTTTGCAAGATGTGTTGGGAATTAGCAAGTGGGAGAGGGAAGTTCTGTGTATTTTGTTTTGACCAGCTGGTGGGTGCCTTGCCCTTTTTTGCAGCAAAAGGTCCTTTGGGTATATTTATTTTCTACAGTGTTTGGATGTTCTTGTTGCAGTACTGCCAAACAGATTTACCAGTGAATCCTATTTGCAAGTCACATGCATGACTGAAATATAATCCAAACAAGGGAAGATTTTTTTTAATGAAATGAACATATAAATAACATATATATAGCTTGGTACTTTTTTTGTTTAGTCTTTTGTTCACTTTGAATCTCAGATTGTGTTGACTCTGCCCATGCAGGACTTAGTGACATCGATTACATATATTTCACAGTGATAGCTTGAGAAATATTAACATTTGTGTTGCTAGCTAACACTACATGTGTGTTGACAAATAAGCCTATAGAGTTCAAGGGGTATTACATTCAGTTAAGCGAAGATAGGTTGGGGAGATGGATTGGCACTTCTTAAAATAGAGACATATGGGGGGAAAGGAATCCTTTCTGTCATAAAACATTTTAAGCAACCACCATGTTTTCATTATTAATGTGCTGTAAGCCTGAACCCATTAAGAAGGACGTGACTCTTGCTTGCTCTCAACCTCTGTAGACACCTAAATGAATCATCCTCATTCCTTGCTGCTTATTTAGGAAGCAGCAATGCAGTTGCTTCCTGATCTTGACAACTATGATCATGTGTAACTCCCCACAGAGTAGTGGATTCAGTTTAAAGTTGCATTGCTTATTCCTGCCAACAACACCCCAACTGCCAACAATCCTGAATGGTCAAGTAAGTGCAGAAGAATTATGACACTGGTTCATGCTTAAATTTTAGGGGCTTATCCATGCAGTATATTTTGAACTGAAGCATGTATATTCCCATGTTTTGCTCAAAGGATGACATTACAGGGAGACCAGTCAGTTTGTACTCTTAGGTAAAAGATTTCCACCCCTTTCCCCCCAAATTGGCTTGAGGAGATCAACTTCACCTGGGACCCTTCTTCTATAGAAACACCCTATATACTCATGTATAAGTCTTAAGTCATTTCCATCAAAATATCAACCCCCAAAACTCGGTCAGCTTATCCATAGGTCAGTATTAGTACTGTGCCTTAGCTCTTATTAAAAAAAAAGAAGCCACCCCCTTTCTCTGAGTTGAGTGGTGAAAGGAGAGAGCTTAGTCCCATTTCAGGGAAACTTAAAAGATGCATCAACTCTCTCTACTCTCTTGTTGTGATGCTGCTTCATGCCCGTTTGAATGTCCATATGGGAAAATAGCACTGGTGATCAAAAGTGGCCGGTCCCATGAGTAGGCAATGATGCTTTTCATGGAATGACCTCAACTTATCCACAGCTCATATCAAAATCCATAATTTTGGCCTCAAAACCTGCCCTTGGTGTAGACATGAGGTCCACTTTTCATGGGTATATACATTAGGTCAGAACGGAGGGATTCCTTGAGCTCTCTAAAAACATCTTGACCAGGCTTCCTCACTGGTGTCTGAAACTAGGCAATTCTGCGGTTACTTCTGACCATTGTGTGACTACTTTGCCTCTCCCTTACTTCAAAAGTAACAAGAGAAATGATTCTACAATCAGACTGTCATGTATTGAATTGTTCAATAGGATCTTGCTTGGATCCAAACATGTAAACAGTTCCAGCCCAACTTAACTGTCTGACCGTATCTCTGTGAATCATCTTGGAGGTTAAGATCTTCTGAGGAGGCCCTGCTCTTGGTCCCACCTCCCAGTGAAATTAGATCAGCTCCCTCCTTCCTGACCTTCAGTAAGAAACTGAAAACTTGGCTATGAGACCAAGCTTTTGGAGAAGTCAGTGCAATAGGCAGCAATGAAATAATGTCATACGATTGAAATTGCTCCTGGACTGTGACCTCGAATTTGTGTCATTTTAATAGCTGACTTTAATGTATTATGTAATGTATTAAAATACTATGTGTTTTAAATTTTAATGATTTTAATATTTGTGTATATTGTATTTGTTTGTTGTTTATATGGCATTTAATATTTCCAACTTGGAAGCATCTCTGAGTTCCCCTTCGGGGTGAAAAGAGCGGGGTAAAACTATAGTAAATAAAAATAAATAAATGTAGGTAATTGCACACAAAATGTGAAGAATACTCAGAAAAAAAGAAGGGGTGCTAACAATTGAAATATTTTGCTATAGAAAAGGAGACCAGCCTGAGAATCTTTGCCTTTGGGAATCTCACTGAGAAAAAGTCATTTATACAAAAATGCACATGGGTTTTCTTCTAAAAATATTTATCTTATGCAAAATTCATGTGCAGGAAAACTACACATAATTCTGCTGTGTCATGATTTTTGTGCAAAATATCTAATTTTCACACAGTTTGTCTAATATTTAGAATGTGCAGGATGGGGCAACATTTTTGCACAAGAATCCATGCCTTTTGCAAGAAATGTGTATGTTCTGCATTAAAAATACATTTCCTAGCTCAGGCAAACCATATTTATATTTCTTGAAATGATTTTTTAAGCCCTAGAAAACAAATAGTGCTTGAAATTTCACATAAAATGTGATAAAAAAGTGGGAAGATAGCTGAAATTGTTCTTGTTCATGAGAATGAAAAAAGAATTGAAGATTTGCATGTCTGCTCCTCATATTGAGGGGAGCTTTGGGTTAGTACTTTTTTTGAAAAGCACTCACAAATAGCATTTAGACCCCTTTTGAAAGTTGATGATTTTCAAAAGCAATTTGGATGCCTTACTCTCAAAAGAGAAATAAAAATCAGCTGCGTTGAGTATGCTTCAAGTAGTCTTTTGAATAATAGCAAATGGCTCGTCTTTTTTGTTTGCTCCTTTCACTTTTTAATACTGGTTTTAATTGTAATGAATTTTAATGAAATGTTTATTACATTTTATAGTATTTTCTGAAGCAGAGATCCATCAAAATATACAAGTCTCCTAGATTTTCCTAGAGAAATAACAGTAGCATAAAAAGGAAATAATGCTCAATCGAAGATGTTCAAATTGGACAAGTGTGTGAGCTACCATTGCCACAAATCTTTCAGTGAACTGAATTAATATGGCAAATTCTCCAGCCATCTAATTAAGCCCTGTAGTACACAAAAGCCGATTGAGTTTTAGAAACTGAAAGTGCAAGATAATCGCTTTCTGTATCTCTGAGAGGATTACCTTACACAGTGCTCTTTATTTTAACACAGGCACCATTACAAAGAACTGCTTAAATCACACCATATCAGGAAACTGCCTGGGGAAAACAATCAGCCCATAGAAAAAGCTGCTGGGCCATCATTCCCTTCATCACTCACAGGTTTGTTCATGCTGTAAGTACTATGCTCCTTGTTTAAGTGACAAATCTGGTACCATCAGTTGTTTAGCATCCATGTACGAGTGGGAAAATTGGACATTCCTATTTTTGGTGCATACAAATGATGATCAAAGGTTAGTAAAACGTCATTCAGCAAGAGATATAACTATAAATGGAACACCTTTTGAGAGACTTGCTCAGGAACACATGGTGTGTAGGATATTAAATGGCATCATAACAGACATCATAATGGGTTACTATGAGTTTTTCTGCCTGTATGGCCATGTTCCAGAAGCATTATTTCCTGACATTTCGCCTGCATCTATAGCAGGCATCCTCAGAGGTTGTGAGGTCTGTTGGAAACTAGGCAAATGGGGTTTATATATCCGTGAAATGTCCAAGGTAGGAGAAAGAACTCTTGTCTGTTTAAGGCAGGTATGAATGTTGCAATTGGCCACCTTGATTAGCATTTCATGGCCTTGTGGCTTCAAAGCCTGGCTGCTTCCTGCCTGGGGAAATCCTTTGTTGGAAGGTGTTAGCTGGCCCTGATTGTTTCTTATCTGGAATTCCTCTGTTTTCCGAGTGGTGTTCTTTATTTACTGTTCTGATTTTGGAGATTTTTTAAATATTGGTAGCCAGATTTTGTTCATTTTCATATTTACTGTTCAAAATCAGGCCTGTAAGTAAATAATAACACTTGGAAAACAGGGGAATTCCAGAACATGGCAATACAGGCCGGAAAACTCACAGCAACCCAGTTATTCTGGCCATGAAAGCCTTCGACAACACATTAAACATCATAATCATTGATGGATTTCCATTCCCTTTGCTCTTGCAGTGGATGACCTGATTGGCTTAAGTAATAGTTTGCCAAGTCACATGGTGTAGGCCCACTATTGAAGCCCAGTCTTAGAAACCCTTGTGAAGGGAAAGGAAGGTTCTGATTTCTTCTTCAATTTGAATTTCAGTCTAAATGGAGAGAAGTATATGTTTCGCAAGTATGCATGGAGAAAGCTTGCCTCTCCTTTTGTTTTTGAGAAATCCCCAGGGTTTTCTCTAAACTTTTGAGGGGAACATCACCAACATCTCTAATACTTTCTTGGTAGCTGCCATTTTTGAAAATGTGTGCTTGCTGTTTTCTTTTAAAAACTCCTTTGAGACATTTGCTAGGTCTGCTTTTGAGTCTGTTTTCATGCAACTTTTGTGTGACTTCTGTAAGATTTCAAATCTCCAGTAAAGGTGAATAAAGTTTGGTATCTCATATACAACATTTCTTTTTTCATTTTTATAAAGGATACGTGATCTTTCTTTCATTCCAAATTGAACTTGGATAGATTCCTGACAGTCTCTGGGCTTTTTCTCTCTCTTTTGGTCTCTTAATGAGATCTTTCTAGCTGTTAAATCTAGCTGCTTCCTTTGTACCAGTGGTGGTTTCGCCTTCGGCTACTTTGGTTTCCCTTCTCAAAGGTCTTACAGAGTATTATAATAACTTTATCTCCACCAGTATTGATTCCAGTATACCAGTCAAAAGCTTACAAAAATAAAGGCTCAGATAGGCAGTAGAAACTGATGCGCTATTATACACATTAGACTTTAGGAAAGCATTATCAGTTATGAAGGTGTAAAATCATTATTTAACAATAGCCCTCAGAAGTCTACAAACATTGTATTCTCACTTACCTTCCCTCTGGATTCGATTCTATCAGCAGTGTTCTTTAAAAGTCAATTCAGTTTTTCAATTCTGGCTTCATTTCAAGATTTGATGCCTTTTTTGCAAAAGAATTCTTAGGTGCTTCTTACTTGTTCTTTTTATGTATTTTTAATGACTGTCAAGATGGATGCTTGGGTAGATTAAGGTGCATTATATGCTGATTGTCCATGTTAGTATTTGTGCTCACTTGTGAATGAATACAGCTCATTTATTTATTCAGAGAACTAAAAAAGGCTATCTGTCTATCTACCCACCTACCTACCTATCTATTGTGTCTATACTGCTGTATTTTTTCTTAATTTTAGTTTTTCTCATTTGATGACATAAAAGATTTCAAAAATGAATTCTCTCAAATGCTCTGTTTGTATTCAGAATATAAATTGTCCAGCTAAAGCATAAATCCATTATTATGTAGTTGCTATAGTGTCAGCATTAGGGAATTTCATCCTTTCCCCCAATCTCCAGACCTCAGCAACTGTGTAGAATTAGATCCTGTCTTAGTAGATTTGTTTTTATTGGAATAAGAATGCATGATTAGGGTTAACACAGCCACTATCATTATGTGCCATGCTTCCAAGAAACCTTTCTAATCATGATGCTGTTGTGTCGAACTATGTTGCAAAAAAGCTGATCCATTATAGGTTAGAAAGTGGACTTGTTTGGCAGGTAGAAGGTCTTGAGTTCAGTCCTTTGCATCTATAGTCCAAAGGGAACCAACCATAAGAGATGGGAAAGATCAATGTCTACCATCGTGCTACACGATTGTGATTGATGGAAAAATTGTCCAGCCCCTTCCTATGTTAAAATATTATCACAGACTGGAGATGCAATGGAAATATAGAAAAACGGTAAATTTGGTATTGGATTCAAAATTTAAACCCCAAAGAATTCGTTTTCACTTTTTTAAAGTATGTTCTGTCCTTTATGACTGGAAAGAGAGATTTGGAGGCATACGGTTGTCTTGGAAGATATTGGGGTCTCAGTAGGAGTTTCAGAAATAAAACTTCAGTTACCTACATGATCTCTTTTCATGACTTATGCAAACAGGATAAATGCTGCAAACTTTTTGTAATTGATATATTTTCAAATTTAGCTTATATTTCTACAGAATTAAAATAACAGTGAAACATTTTAAAAAGTGCATGAACACACATAAGGCTGTTCAAAGTATTGTCAAAGGCTTTCATGGCCAGAATCACTGGAATGTTGTAAGTTTTTCCGGCTGTATGGCATGTTCCAGCAGCATTCTCTCCTGACGTTTCACCCACATCTATGGCAGGCATCCTCAGAGGTTGTGAGGTGTTCTGGAAAGTAGGAAAATGGGGTTTATATATCTGTGGAAGGTCCAGGGTGGGAGAAAGAACTCTTGTCTGTTGGAAGTAAGCATGAATGTGGTTCAAAGTGTTTTATGTTCACCAGTAATTTGTTAGATTTATTTATTTTATTTATTTAAAACATTTATATTCTGCCCTTCTCACCCCGAAGGGTACTAAGGGCGGAGCACAGCATATATATGGCAAACATTCAATTCCGGGACAAGAATTCGTATAAGCATACATAAACATTAAAAATATTTATCACAATATTAAAATGCACTGTTTAAAACCATCTTGGTCATCTGGGTCAAATCTAAATTGGCCTGGTAAAGTTTCCTATCACTGCTTTATTGCACTGTCCCAAAAGCTTGATCCCACACTCAAGTTTTTATCATCCTTCTAAAGGACAGGACGGAGGGCGCCGATCTGATCTCGCCAGGAAGAGAGTTCCATAGGCGAGGGGCAATCACCAAGAAGGCCCTGTGTCTCATCCCCTCCAATCGTGCCTGTGGTGGGACAGAGAGCAGGACCTCCCCAGGGGATCTTAATCTCAGCGATGGTTCATAGGGGGAGATGCGTTTGGACAGGTTGCTGCTGCCACAGCAGGCCAAAAACCACCAGCTACAGTAAATCTTTTTTCAATCTAAAGTTGACAGTTCAAAGCCCTGGTCATGGTGAGCTTCTGTCCTTTACGCCAGCTTCCAACAACCTAGCAGTTCAAAAGCAAAAAATGCGAGTAGATTAAAAGATACTGCTTAAAAGCGGGGGAGGTACTTTAAGGCACTCCTAAAAGGAAAAATGCCAGACGATCTAACCAAATAAGGAGGAAGTTTATGAATCTTCAGCCGGGAGATGGATTGACAGCATCCCCTTGTGGTGGAGCCAAGCACAAGCCTCCGAGATACCGAGGACAAGAAAAAGCCAATATATACCTCAGTGTATGTAAAATTGTCTGTATAAAATGGCATTGAATGTTTGCCATATATGCATGTTCTGTGATCCGCTCTGAGTCCCCTTTGGGGTGAAAAGGGTGGAATATAAATAATGTAAATAAATGGGGGTTATGTGTGCCAAGTTTTGTCCATGTTCATCATTCGTGTGGGTCACAGTAGCCTGTGGAAGTGGGAGCCAGTCAGAAAGCTGCCACATACACACATACATACATACATACATACATACAAACATTGACTATTATATATAGATATTCATAATATATTCATTCTTTGTATTTTGAAAAAAATATTGTCATCTTACTTTCTGGATAACCATCGTAGTTGGCACAAGATGGGCTTTAAAGTGGCAACTGCTGGTACTGACTAACCCTCAGCAGATCAGTTGTTGCAGATAGTGGTTTCAATACTTGAACCTACATTCACAGAGCCCCCCACTACCACCACCACCACACATGCACACGTTCTACTCACATAACAAAATCACCTATCTATCTACTTATCCTCTTTGTATACCGAGGCATGGGCAAACTTTGGCCCTCCAGGTGTTTTGGACTTCAACTCCCACAATTCCTAACAGCTGTTAGGAATTGTGGGAGTTTGCCCATGCCTGCACTAATCTCAATCCCTGTATCATCACTCCATACCCTTCATTGCATTCTCATATACCATCTCATCAGTCCCATGCTCCTTGCCATCAATCCTGTACTCTGCATCACCAATAGGATGCAGTACTGGTGCTTGATTATACTTCCCCTTATCAGCTTCTCATGATGACCCTGGGAGAAAATAAAGAGATCTGGTTGACCAGGGCCAAATAATCTGCTCATTTTTATCTGTCTCATGATCTCTAGATCCACGTGTAACTTAACTGCTTTTTCTCCTAGGGAATGCTACTTCTGACAGGTCAAAATTTAATACAGGTCACAAGAATCACATAGATATTATTTAAGTTCACGTTAGTATGGATCACCAGTACTGAGACAGCAGGGTTGGAATTCAATGCACCATCAACTCCACCAGTTTTTCAAAGGGTGATTTTGTTGTTAAACCTTTTTGTTTTTGTTGCCAAACTTAATATTTATTCATTTATGGTTTGGAGGAGTTGATGTTTGCCTCGCAATAACTGTATCATTTTTGTTCATCTTCACAGATGGCACAAAAGTTTTCCCTAATAATGCAGCTGCTATTGCAGGAACATTGCAGTTCTCCAGGACTTCAATCGCTATAATTTGCTTTTAGGAAAATGGGATTGTTCAGGTTACATCAACAAATCAACCCCAAGTTGATAGCAGTGCGTGGAGTGGTTTGCTCACTTGTGAATAGCACTTGTGACTGAAATATTGTTCAATTACACAAATTCCCCTGTAAATTTTAACCGTTTCATGGATTTAAACAAAGTGTTTCTATATTTCTTAATAATTTAAAAGCTAAACAATGCCGTTCTCCTTGCCATGCCAGTACAGTCAATATGTTGTTGTTTTATAAGTGACAGACAACAGAAGGACTAGTTTATTCTTGGTAATGCTTTTTTAATGGTTTCTAGAACACTGCTGAATCTTGATGGACTGCACATTTGCTCCATTAATTTTTTTAAAAGAATACCATCCTACAACAAATCTGTTTCCTATGCCTTCTTATCATTCCCTGCATATTGCCTTGGGATTTGAAAAATACCTCCTAGGCTGTGTAACTATGTGTAAGTATTAATTGGAACGTATCCAACTTTATAAGTTGTGCTACTTCTCAGTAAATAGATGTGACATTGCCAATGTATCTTCGCATAAAGATCAAATGTGAACCAATATGGGTAGATACTTTATCAAAAGACATCCATGAAAGTGACCCATTTTGGAAACGCAGTAACCATTTGTCATGTCCTTGCAGGTGTCCCAGAGTTGAAACTTCTTTGTGGAGCTGATTTTCTGAAGACATTTCAAGTGCCTGATCTTTGGAAAGAAGAACACATTTTAGAAATAGTGGACAAGTTTGGGCTGGTGTGCATTAGTCGTGCTGGCAGTGATTCTTCTCAGTGTATATCAGAATCAGAGGTTTTGAGCCGTTACCAACACAATATCCACTTGGTGAGAGAGTGGATCCAGAATGAAATCAGTGCCACCAGTATAAGACAGGCCTTATGTAAAGGGCAGAGTGTAAAATATCTGGTTCCAGACTCAGTTATTTCCTACATTAAGCAACACACTATATATACCGAGGAAACAGAACGGAGAAATGAAGGGGATTTGCTGCAACCTCTTAAGCGATACAGTACTGTGCTCAGCTCTTTGAACGACTGAAGGTTCTGCTTTAGCAAAGTTACTCACTTCAACAGAGAAATAAATCAAATACTTTTATCTATAAGGGAAAAATGTCTGGTGGTAGTATTTTTACTTGTTTTGTTTTTGGAAAGCCACTGTCTTGTGGGAAATCTGCATATTCACTGCAAAGCTTCTGCAGAGTCTTGATGTTCAAATATATCCTGGAAGATGTAGATTCCTCCTATGTCTTCAGCATCACAACTGTTTCACACACCCCAAATTAGGGTTCTTTCCCAGGTTGAAGTTGTTATTATTATGTTTATGTTTATTTATTTCTTGCTTTATCTCTCCACAAAGGAAACTCAAAGTGACTTGCATTAAAAGCATTTCAATACAATTTAAAATCCAAAATTATACAAATATTAAAATGAAATTAAACATCAATGGTATTAAAATTAGTTAATTTTAAAAAACTGATTAAAAGTATAGACAGAACGAATGAATGTAAGCTTTGTTGAATCTCTTAGTGATGTATGAAACAAGTACCGGTTGCTAAATTGTACCTCTCTAATTTGTAATACACAAAAGTTTATCAGCTAACTAAACAGTTTACTTGGAAATTAGCCACATTGATTTCACAAAGTGGCTGCATTTAGATTCTTGGCCCAGACTTCATAAAACATGGCCAATCATCTAAATCAGTGGTTCCCAACCTTTTTTTTGACCAGGGACCACTTTGATCAGGAGCCACTCCAACATGAGTACCAAAAGGGTTACAAATCAGTTTTTGGTCACTTTAGATTTGGGTTGGGGTGCTAATTCAGAAAATTGCGTTGGATAGACCACATCAGCTCTACTTTCTGATACAGAACATATGCCATGGTCAGCGACAGGGAAGCAGTGGCAGGCAGCATGGAAGGAGCATAAATTAAATAAATAATGAAATAATGAAATAAATAAAGAGGAAGGAGGCTTGTGGACCAGATTTTCATCCTCCCAGCCCACTGGGTTAAGAATCACTGATCTAAATAAACCATGGTTTATGAAGTTATTAATTAGTCCCGTGGTCCCTTATCCTTTTCTGCCCATTTCCTGCCAAGTGTCAGTCTTTTGTGAAGATTTGTACTTGCCATAACTCATAGTCCATCCATTCCCACTCCTTGTCTCAACCACAGAACTGTGGCTAATGTTGCTTTATAAACAGGGAAGATAAGGTAGGTTATGATGGCCTCATGAAGATATGGACTATTTATATATGACTGATCTGTTTTAAGATTGTAGTTCTAATATATCAGTGTGGGGTTTTTTTAGTCCTCTTGAATTATTTGTGTAACCTTCTCACCATATCACCGTGCTATAATGCATTTAATGTGTCTGCTTTAGTATAAAATTGTCAGTAGTTGTCATGTCAGAATGCAAAGAACAATCCCACTTGTCAGCCGGATTTGCAAGGACTCTCTCCTCCCTGCCATCAGTAAACAGATTGATGTGTTGAAAATTCTGTTGTGCTATAACAGCATTTATATTTCTAACAGTGCAGTGAGGGAAAACCATTTTTTTTCACATCTTCAGAATTCCAATATAAATTTCAAGAAAATTAATTAATTGGCAGGGACATAGAACCATAGTGTATCCTAAGTAAATTGGCAACATAACTGATCCATTTCTTCATACTAACACCATTCAATCTGAAGTGTTCATTTCAACTTCCATTCTGTTCCAGACATTATTTAAGAGAAGAATTGTCTATTTTGCAATTCAGTCCTGTGACATAAATCGGCAGCTGATTTTTCAGAAGATTATAGAGCATAGTTATTTATTATTTATTTTTAAATTGTCTAGTCTACTTTTCTGCTCAAACCCAAGGAGTCATTTTTTAAAATGTCTCCAGGCACCTCATTATAAAGAGATAAGAATACCAGTCAAGATTCTGAAGGATGCTTATTTCATTACATTTCCAAAATTGAGATGTGACTAAATAGAACACATATTTAAATGTAGATTTGTATAGATCTTCGTGGCATATCTTTTTTGCATGCTATCTTGCAGATAATAGCATAGAAATAAAACTAATTCTTCCCCAGAAATCAGGTTCAGTACACTTGTCTCTATGTATTCTGGACACAGTCTCAGTAGTGTCATTCTCACATTGTCTTTTTGCTATGAGGCGACCTTTCTATTGGTTCTTTCTAGTCAGTTTTCAGGTCAAATATTTGATATATCAATGATCAGAAGAACATTGACACTCTGGATTCAAATCTTGCTGAAACGGACCACATGAGTTTGGATCAGTTACCTTCTCTCTCTGTGCTATAATTTTACATTATTGTTTTAAATATTAAATTGGGTGAGGGTTACTGAACTTCTTAGAGAAATAATGGGATTTTATAAAGTTATAATTATCTGTACATGTCTGTCCATACATAGGCAGTAGGCAAGTTTATGCTATTCCCATTAGTGTAAACTCATTTTAGCATAGCATAATGGTTGTTCTATTGTAATATAGTAATCTGTTCCACTGGAGCCAGAAAGTTGTTGCATTGACATGGGAATTCTCTGAAATGTACAGTGTTGAGTTGTGCTATATAGGCTTGGTGGGAAAATGATTCCAAACTGGTAGGGCCAACTTGGAAACTGACCAGAGTCTGTGGATTTGTGTAATGTAATTTCAAAAATTCCTTCCAAATAAGAATTTGGACCCTTACCATAAAGCTATCCTTGGACAAGATACCTGTAACATATGAGAAAGCTAGGTGCTGGGGGTAGGATCACAGGACAAGTAAAACAGTTCAAGGTATCTAGTTTTCTGCTCATTTTGGAATTGATGGGGGCTGTTGAGTGTAAAGTAACAGAAGACAGAGCACTTCTTCCAATAATATCCAATTATTTCAAGTAGGGACTCAAATGTTACACCATTTCAAATTGTACAAGAAACACCAAAAATCATTTACTTTTTCTAGCTGAAAGTGCTGAACAGTAGATTAGTCCTACAGCTTATTACTTCAACATCCCTTCTCCAAAGCACTAGGATTGAGAGTCCTTGTGAAACCATTAACTGTGATTAGAAGATAGAATAGCCAGTCACAAATCCACATCCTGGAGTCATCTTCCCTTTTGCCTATTTTTATTGTTTCTTTTCTGCTGAACCATTGGAAAAATGCTTGGAAACATATATCTTGCTTCTTTATGCAATCTATCTGAATCCAAATGGCAACAAATTTTCAGGATTTGTGGATTTGATCCTCTTGGGGATACTTCATCAATTCAAAAAGCCTTGGAATGTTTTTGATCAGCCAGTTCAGTTGGGAATTTGTCAAAATGTGAAAGAAACTTGAAGAGGAATCTTTCTCCTTAACTCTTTAAGATTCATGAATGGAGTCTGATAGCAGATGAAATTTAGCATTTTTAATAGTGCTGCACAGGAGGCGATTAGCTGGCCCTGATTGTTTCTTGTCTAGAATTCCCCTGTTTATGAGTGTTGTTCTTTATTTACTGTCCTGATTTTAGCGGGGGGTTTTTTAATACTGGCCCCAGATTTTGTTCATTTTCATGTTTTTCTCTTGTCAAAATTATACACATGCTTGAGGGTTTCAATGGCTTCTCTGTGTAGTCTGACATGAGTGGTCTAGCATTTTTGTGTTGTCAAATAATATGCTGTGTCCAGGTTGATTCATCAGGTGCTCTGCTACGGCTGACTTCTCTGGTTGAAGTAGTCTGCCGTGCCTTTCATGTTCCTTAATTCGTGTTTGGACAATGCTGCGTTTGGCGGTCGCTCTGTAGACTTGTCCACAGCTGCATGGTATACGGTAGACTTCTGCAGAGGTGGGAGGATCCCCCTTGTCCTTTGCTGAACATAGCATTTGTTGTATTTTCTTAGTGGGTCTGTAGACAGTTTGTAGCTTGTGTTCTTTCATCGGTTTCCCTATGTGGAAAGAATACTTTTCCTCTGTGTGTTCTTGGTCTTGCAGGGCTTCTGATATCTGCGGTGGAGTATCCATTTTCCAACTACATAAATCACACTTTTTGTATCATATTTCAGTGTTCTACGTGTTGTATCAGCAAAATATGTTTAGGATGTGGTTCAGAATGCTTTATACATGATTAACTTGGCTTCACTAGGGACATTTCCTTTGTCTAAGCAAATTACTTTCTTTAAAATGGCTGTACATCATTTAGCCATTCAGTCACTTTCTGACTTTTTCTCATCACCCTCTTTCTCCCTTTGATCCTTCCCTTTTACTGGGCATTTTCCTTTGATCCTTTTTATGGAAAAAATAGCTATTTTAGTAGTTGGACATCAATAGTACATTTTGTAAATAATTATTTAAAAGAACACCCTTTCAAACTTCTAATATTTGTATGTTATGTGGAAAGATCTCAAAAACATGTATTGTAAGATGGCCTTAAAAATACATTCCTCCAGGGTTTTGAAGGATGGAAGTTACATAAACATGATATAAGTAGCATATCACCATGAACTGGGCGTCCCTTGAGAAATATTAGAATTTGGATTATGAAAGTGTTCCTTCTTGCCCCACTAGATAGAGGAAACTGCCTTTATTCAGAAGCACAGCAGCCAGCATTTTGGATTAGCTAACTCAATTAATTTAACCTTCTGTTCATGCTACACTGAAAACTATTTGTTCTCCAATAGGTTTGTTCAAAAATTTCCCTGCTGTATTCCTAAGTGATAGGAAGACTTTCGGAGTCTGAAGTGATTCCTTTCAGGCTACAGTGTATTGTTGAATAATGCAGTGCAACACGGTGTGTGGGTTTTTTTCCCCCTTGCTTATTTGCACTGCAGTTAATGGGTTTCTGTGAAGTACTGCTTATTTCTTGGTCTGGAAAGACTTCTCATTCTCTTAACTGAAAGCGTGTCCTGATTAATAAAAGCGTGCCATTCTGCTGAAAATACTGGGCGATAGCTGGAACTGGGTGTTACTCTAATAATACAAGGCTGGATGAATAATGGCTGGCTCTTTTTCAGCCATCTATTAACCAGCTAGTGAATATCTCAACCTAGTACCCATCATTCAAAGTTTATTGTGTAGGCATGACCTGAAGGACAAATTTAGCTATTCAGAGCAAATGGTGCAGTCTCTTGTTAGGAGTAGGAAGTACATGGTTCTCTTTGTCTTTCAACTCTATACAGCATAAAGTACACAAGGAGTAGACTCATAGAATCATAGAGTTGGAAGAGGCCTTGTGGGCCATCCAGTCCAACCTCTTGCCAAAATGCAGGACAATCGCTTTCAAAGCACCCCCAACAGATGGCCATCCAGCCTCTGTTTAAAAGCCTCCATAGAAGGAGCTTCCACTACACCTTCGGAGTAGAGAGTTCCACTGCTCAACAGCTCTCACAGTCAGGAAGTTCTTCCTAATGTTCAGGTGGAATCTCCTTTCCTGTAGTTTGAAGCCATTGCTCCGTGTCCTAGTCTGCAGGGCAGCAGAAAACAAGCTTGCTCCCTCCTCTCTATGACTTCCCCTCACATATTTATACATGCCTTTCATGTCTCCTCTCAGTCTTCTCTTCTGCAAGCTAAGCCACTCCTCATAGGGCTTGTTCTCCAGACCCTTGATCATTTTAGTCGCCCTCCTCTGGACACATTAAAGCTTGGCAATATCTTTCTTCAATTGTGGTGCCCAGAATTGAACTCAATATTCCAGGTGTGGTCTAACCAAGGCAGAATACAGGGGTAGCATGACTTCCCTGAATCTAGACACTATACTCCTATTTATGTAGGCCAAAATTCCATTGGCCTTTTTAGCTGCAGCATCACATTGTTGGCTCATGTTTAACTTGTTGTCCACAACAACTCCAAGATCTTTTTCACATGTACTGCTGTCGAGCCAGGAGCCCTCCATTTTGTATCTTTACATTTCATTTTTTTTTTCTGCCTAAGTGGAGCATCTTGCATTTGTCCCCATTGAACTTCATTTTGTTAGTTTTGGCCAATCATCTCTCTAATCTGTTAAAATCATTTTGAATTCTGCTCCTGTCTTCTGGAGTATTGGCTATCTCTCCCAATTTGGTGTCGTCTGCAAACCTGATGATCATGCCTTCTAATCCCTCATCTAAGTCATTAATAAAGATGTTGAACAGGACCAGGACGGAACCCTGCAGCACTCCACTCGTCACTTCTCTCCAGGGTGAAGAGGAAGCATTGGTGGGCACCCTCTGGGTTAGTTCATTTAGCCAATTGCATTTAACCAGATCCACCTAACCATGGTTTTGCCTAGCCCACAACTGGCTAGTACACTCCATACATGTAGCAGTTCAGTACCACTATTACTCCCATGGATCTAACTGGTGTGTTCATAAAGTTCTAATCCAGCATTTCTGGAGGACCCATTACAGCTTTCTAGCAAAAGATTGTAAGTGCTAAAACTACCAATCCCAGATTTCTGAAAGATGGAGATAACAAAGTATGCAGTATAAATATGCTCAAGGACATCGAATTTTACCAGAAGGGTCAGAATTGGTTACTGCTGCTACCCTTAACAAGTCACCAAATATGTTTCTAACAGCAATAGTAATAACCTGTTTCTGTATCAGAAAATACATCTTATTTTTCTAGTCATATTGGGGAAAAGGAATAATATGGTTAGATTTGATATCCAGCTAATCAGTGGCCTTACCAGCCATTCTATGGAAGCGCAATGGCCTATTCCATTTAAATCAAGCCATCCCTCTGTTATTAGCAAACTAAAAGCTTCAGCTTTGTAGGAGGATTTAAAGGTACCACTTCCAACACTAATCGGCTTAAAGGGACTAGCATAACTGCATGGTCAGAGGAGCAGATAAAAGAAACCAGAGTTCAAACTTGTTACAGTGAAAGGCACTAAACTGTATGGTAAAGAAGTAACACGCTAGGCAAAGGCTTTGATTTTGCACCGGAAAACAAACACGAGTAATGCCTGCGGATTTCAACGGTTATTGGAAAATGCTCAGCAATGACAATTTTGAGGAGTACTTGAAAGCACTTGGTAAGTTATTTTCCTTGTCATTTCTGTTGTGATCTTATTTTTATATCACGTAGACTTGGGATGGATCTGATTCTCGTGTAGGGTCATCTATGTATATGCCACACAATACTTGCATGACTTTGGTATGAATTCAGTATTTCACAGTGTCCTGTCAATAAATTTTTTTCTAACTGTCTCAAAATGATGAAAAGGAGCAGAAATCAAACTCAACAGTTGCATGCATACAAACACACTTCGGAATCATCAAAATTAAAATGATCATAGCTTGCTATTATAGTATCAGTAATGCATATGGTACATTATCAACAAAGTACGGAATATAGAAACAAATTTAAAAGGCTCATTGAACACTAGATTCAATGTTAAAAGATTTAAATAGACTAAGATAATGTTTTAAAAAAACATTGTGTAGTGTTTACCAGATCTTGTATAAATTACAATACAGGAATCCTTTTCTTCTTTTGGTCTTTGTCTCTCTTTTTTTCTTCCAGATGTAAATATTGCTATAAGAAAAATAGCCAATATGCTTAAACCTGACAAAGAGATCATTCAGAACGGAGACCACATGATCATTAGAACACTCAGTACTTTTAAAAACTACATCATGGATTTCCACATAGGGAAGGAATTTGAGGAGGATTTAACAGGGGTGGATGATCGCAAATGCATGGTAAGAATTAGTTCAGCAACTGTTGCATAACAAAAAAAGATTGGGTTAAAAATCCCACTTCATAGTGGTCACAGTCATTGCAGAATAGCTTTTCTGCAGAACTTCGTTTTCTTTTTTATCTGAAATGTTTACTCAGCACCACTGAGCCAGTGCAAACTTGAACTTAGAATAAATGTGTTGATTGATATAAAATCCTATACAAATTATTCTGGAAGTAAGCTGCCCTCAACATTGTAGTGTTTATGTATAGGGCTATTCTATAAGAAACATAATTTGTATTTGTTTTGATACAGTTTTTAAAACTGTATACTTTGATCAATATTGATCACGATTACATTAACAAATCCAGTAAACCCATTGATTTATGTTGGACTGAGGACCAAATATAATGCTAATCATTTTGAGCTGAGGAGCTCAAGCAGGGCATTTATCTTCTCTGTTGCCCACTTTCTGCTAATGATTTTGAACAAGCAAGGGCAGAATGCACATGATTTAAAGAGCTTTTTATACCAGAAACCAAAGGTTCATCCATAACAGAAACAGATACTACCAAGCCTTCTCCCTTATGGGCTTTAAGCTTTTGACAAGGAAACAATATTCTGCAGCTCTGAAGAAATAATACCAATTAGCAGCACAGGCTTCCTAATACCAAACCGCTTAGCTGAATCAGACTAAACATTGTCTGATAGTTTGAGAGGAAGACACTTTTACGGAGTCCTAGAATGAAGGGTTTGTAAAGCTTCACAAGGTTATTTGGGTGAAGGAGATAACAAATGCCAAGGGAATTGAAACAGCAGGCCATCTCTAAGATTTCAGTGTTCTCTAAAAACAAATTAAATTCCCCACTTTATCTTAAGACAGGAATGGAAAAAATGAGATACAAAAAGTGAAAAATGTTTTCATTGTAAGAACTCAGGTAGGTCCAGGTCTACCATAGTTGTATAAAAAGCTATTTTTACACCCACCCACCCACCCCCCCAAAAAAATAATAACGGTAACACAGAGGTTGTTTTATTTTTTGCCATACATTTACATTTTCCTTTAGCTATCTCTGATATCATGGTCAGTCATCACAAAATTCAGATTCAATCCTACAAATATTAGAAATGTTTGCCCAAGTGGACACAATTCATACACTGAATGTTCAGTTACTCATTTATCCAACTTAAAGGGATCTTTGAAGCTCTTCATAATCTGGGTTGTTGCAAGTTTTTTGGGCATTATGGCCATGTTACAGAAGCATTCTCTCCTGACGTTTCACCTGCATCTATAAATCCATAGATGCAGGTGAAACATCAGGAGAGAATGCTTCTGAAACATGGCCATACAGCCCGAAAAAAACTTACAACAACCCAGTGATTCCGGCCATGAAAGCCTTCAACAATACATCTTCATAATCTCTTTGTTTCTTTTATTTCTCTGAATACTTTTGTGTCATTGATATACTTGGACACCTCACTACTCACACTTATTTTAGTCCAGAAATTAACAAGTCAAAAAGCATTAGAAAATTAAAATCTTTTTTTTTGGGGGGGGGGGGGGTTCATTGCGAATACATTTAATTTCTTCCTACATACGAATTCCTGTTATTTTACCAGTTGTTGGTTACTACTCAACACTTCCTTTTTTACAATGACTGCTGGGTTCATCTAGCAGCCTTTTGTGAAAGAGTATCACAAGCATTTTAGAAACTGTCTGTGTTACTGCCTACTAGAGCACCCCTATCCAAAGATATGTTGATCCCCTGAAAGAAATCAATTAAGTTCTAAAACAAATTATCATATACAACATTTTACAAACCCCTATTCTACAAGACTGGGGATTGTATGTTTAATACTAGTTTTCACTGATCTCAGAACACATGGAGAGAGAGATTGCCTATGATTTCCTAAATGTTTGTTGAGTTGCCTTTTCATGGGTGGTATAACACTGTCCACTTTCTAGTGTCACCTGGTGCAGAGCCTCATCTTAGTATTTGCTTTTCTAGGCTTTTGGACTGTGACATGCAGCTTGCTCACTCTACTTACCAACTAATGTCAAGGAAGCTGTGGGGAATTCTGAAATATTACTGCACAGTAGTGATGGATTAGGTATAGATTGACAAGATGAAACTCAGTCACTCAAGAGAAAGGTGCTGTTGGATAACGGAATTGCTGTTTTAGGGATAGGGAGTGCAGAATCTTTTGGATAAAAATTGTGCTCTCTATAAAGTGAGGGTAGACAAAGAGTGGCAAGGGGACAGCTTGTTCCTCTCCCAGAATGTTTCTGTAGTCTTCAACCCTCCACACTACTTGGACCAACTTTTTTTTCCTGCCATTTATTTTTCTAAAGAAGAATGTGTTGTCCTGATATCCTTTCACTCTAAAATATTAAAACACTTTAATTGCTATATCTGTATTTGTTGGAATCCTGGGTCATGTAGTTCGATGAGGCACTAGAGCTCTCTGAATTAAACTTGTAAACACCCCTTCCCTAAACTGCAATATCTAGGATTCCATAGGATGGCATTATGATAGCTAAAGTGGAATGATAGTGCTTAAATGCTGTAATGCAGGTATGGGCAAACCCAGGCCCAGGGGCCAGATGCGGCCCCCCTTGGGCTCTTTCTCAGGCCCTCCTCTTTCACACCATCCTATCTTTCCTTCCTCCTTCTCTCCCTTACCTCTTTCTCCCTCCTTCCCTTTCACCCTTTCGGCCTTCCTTCCTTCCCACTTTCCTTCCTCCCTCTTTCTCTCTCCTTCCTTCCTTCCCTTTTGTCTTTCCTTCCTTTTCTCTTTCTTCCCTCCCTCTCTCCATTCCCTTTTACCCTTCCTTCTAAGGGGCTCCCTCCTGGCCCGCCCACCCCACTCCGGCCCTCTATGCCAACTGCACCCCTTCCTGGCTAAGACAGTTCTGACTACAGCAAACACTTTGGGCAACTTCTAGATTACCTCTGGTTCACATTGTGAGGGGAAAGGAATTACAGTGAGAAAGAAGAAACAGAAAAGTCACTTTCATAAACTTCCTGCAGCACATAATTTTCAAGATTTGAGGTTTTTTATTCTATTTGACCTTGTAGGCTTTCTAATTTTGTAAACAACTTTGACGGTTTTGTCTGTAATGAGCGATAGAAATTCAATAATAAATTTAATCACAGATTTGTTCAGCAGCAATACCTATAATTGGGCAGAAGCTATGCCTTGCTCATAGAAATGGTATTTGATGGCATTTCTTTTCTCCTTTCCCTATACATATTCCAATAGAAGAGCCTACTAAAGAAATCCCCCTGCTCATGTGCTCCAAATTATGTGAATCTACCTTAAACCATTAATATTATTTGGGCACAACTGGTGTCTAGGATGGTAAAATTATTTATTCAGTCCTATCTAAGTCAGGTACCTAACAAAACGAAGGCAGGTATCTAGGCATCTATTGTGTCCCTTCAGTTCCATTCATGTCCATACATAAAGAGCCTAGTATGCTTGACCCTAAACAACATAAAGAGTTTTCCTTCCTGTGCTTGACTTTTTAAATATGCTGGGGGTTTTTCCTGGTGTAACTGCAATCTGCTGCATTATTTTAATACTTATTTAGTGTCTCTCAGATTTGTGATTTACAAAGCAACTTTCTAGGTTGTTCTGAAAAAAAAACCCTAAGTATTCGAAATTCTAAAATGACATATAGTTCTCAGCTTTTAAAAATGAATTATCAAGAATATGATTATAGTAAAAGGGCCTAAATCACAGAGGAAATTTAAGATCACAAAGAATCAACGTAACTTTTTAGCAGTGGTTCTCAACCTGTGGGTCCCCAGATGTTTTTGGCCTTCAACTCCCAGAAATCCTAACAGCTGGTAAACTGGCTGGGATTTCTGGGGGTTGTAGGTCAAAACACCTGGGGATCCACAGGTTGAGAAACACTGCTTTATAGTGTTGGGTTTTTTTAAAAAAAAATCAGATGACATTATTAATTATGAAAGTGTGTTGGTACATGTTGACCAGTAACTCCCATTCTATGGTTATTTGTTGTCTCATCTATCAATATTTTTTTTTTAATGTTTGTATGGGTTATTTTGGATTTTAAATTGTATTGTATTGATTTTACTGTAAGCCGCTTCAAGTCTCTTTTTTTGGAGAAAAAAAGCAGGGTATAAATAAAGATATTCATCATTATCTAAATATTGACATTTTCCTCTCCATTGTGCATTTATTTATTTACCACACTTTTATCCTGCCTAAAAGTGTTTTTATTTTGCTTATTTTCTAGTCTTATCGGACAAATAAATTAAATTTAGGCAATGCAATAAAGACACTACACATAATTTTGATATGCTTAATTGTTGAATTACAGCTATGGATGTAATTCTTTCCTAAGTTTCTTCTCAGAGTAATTTTTTCCTGCTTTGAGAAAGTCTTCAAAACTATTTCCTCTTGGGAATTTTTCTATGCAAAATTCACAAATTGTTATTTTGTGCAGAAATACTGTGTTCTGCACAAGGCAACCATGTGTAAATTTTGCACAGAATAAGTCCCAAGTAGAAAATAGTCCCAAACTATAAAGATTTTTAGCAGTCCAGAATTCTTGTCAAGGTTTTCCAACATTCAAAATACATTTATTTGAACCTTTCTCAGATATTTTTGAATATGCTTTTCATCCCTTATTCTAATTGGGAACAACTGAATAATTGAGAGCAATTCCTATGGTTTTCTGGCTTATTGTGTCATCCAAATCGGCCCAGTTTGCCTTCATTTGCTAGACCACTAGTATAAAGATTTGGTAATAAAGCTTTCTTCACCTTGCTGAAGGTTCAGATTTTGTCAGCGAGAAAAAAACCAGGAAGAGGCCCTGTTTTGTGAAAGCCCATAACTATTCAATTTTGAGGACAAAACTAAATGCACTTCTTGTAAACTGTACTGAAAGCATAAGGATTGGTTTGCAACATTGCCAACCAATCACAACATTTAGCCAAGAGAATATATAAACAGCTTGAACATAGGAGATGTGTGTCACATGCATTCCAG